TCTGTGTATACTCTGTGTATACTCTATGCGTACTCTGTGTATACTCGGTGTATACTCTGTGTATACTCTGTGTGTACTCTGTGCGTACTCTGTGTATACTCTGTGCGTACTCTGTGTGTACTCTGTGTATACTCTGTGCGTACTCTGTGCGTACTCTGTGTGTACGCTCCCCGTGTGTACTCCGCGCACGGGACGATACGAGAAGGAGGCTGATGCCCGCTCGGCTGTTGCGTTACGTTTGCGGCGTCGTGATACCTCACAGGAACTCGTAACACAACGCAGCGATTGTTTCGCTGATGTCGTGTTAAGTGAAGTCGTGTTTTACTAGATTCGTGTTTATTGATGCCGTGAATATTGATGTCGTGATGACTGAAGTTGTGTTTGCTGAAGTCGTGTGTACAGAGTAACTGTAGGCTTGCTATTAATCACGCGCACTTCTTAATAACCACCGCGAGTCATAGAGTGTGTGTGTGGCTATGAGTGTGTGCGCACCGTGCGCACACAGTGGCGAGCACGTTGCACGCCGTCGGGTCTGCGCTCCCCACGTGCGCTCTCCAGATCTACTCTCCAGATCTACTCTCCAGATCTACTCTCCAGATCTACTCTCCAGATCTACTCTCCAGATCTACTCTCCAGATCTACTCTCCAGATCTACTCTCCAGATCTACTCTCCAGGAGAATGCGCCCAGCCCGCGCGAATTCGCACCCGTTCCGTCCCGAGCTCTCACCTCGAATAGCAACGTAAATTCGCCTTCCTTCACATACCTGTCTCTCCAAATAAACACATGTCTACACATTCCATCAGCCACACGGGGCTTCTGGGAGTGCACAATTTCCACACAAGAAAAACTCCCGACCAGTGTTCTCCAATGATTGTCCCATGAGCAGCAGTCTGGCTCGCCTGAACCAATCCTGGTCAACAGCCGGATGGATGTTTATAGGCAAGGGCCCTTCTCGGTTAGACACGGGTCCGAGTTCGACGACAAACTCTGCAATACACAGCGCAGGCGAATCACTCGCATCGCTCTGGAGAGTCACGCTCTCCAGAAGTCGCGAGTGATGGTTTCGTCTGATATCGGTGATGAGAATGAAACGGGAAACGAGCGCAGTTTGGCTCTCGCCTCCACGATCATCAACCCCGTGGCTGAGTGGTTGTGGTTGTTTCCGCAGCAGCAGCAGCTGTTGTGTGAGAAGGAGACACGGGCCCGGTCGCGCCATGCATGCAGCGGTTGTTTAATAGACTCACGGTACAGGTCAGTGCAGTGCACACACCTCGTCATGTACATCACGCGCGTGCAGTGCACACACCTCGTCACACCTCGCCACGTGCTGTACAACACACACGTGTAACGCACACACCTCGTCACGTGCTGTACAACACACACACGTGTAACGCACACACATGGTCACGTGCTGTGCAACACACACACGTGTAACGCACACACATCGTCACGTGCTGTACAACACACACGTGTAACGCACACACCTCGTCACGTGCTGTACAACACACACACGTGTAACGCACACACATGGTCACGTGCTGTACAACACACACACGTGTAACGCACACACATCGTCACGTGCTGTACAACACACACACGTGTAACGCACACACATGGTCACGTGCTGTACAACACACACGTGTAACGCACACACATGGTCACGTGCTGTACAACACACACACGTGTAACGCACACACATCGTCACGTGCTGTACAACACACACACGTGTAACGCACACACCTCGCCACGTGCTGTACAACACACACACGTGTAACGCACACACATGGTCACGTGCTGTACAACACACACACGTGTAACGCACACACATGGTCACGTGCTGTACAACACACACACGTGTAACGCACACACCTCGCCACGTGCTGTACAACACACACACGTGTAACGCACACACATCGTCACGTGCTGTACAACACACACACGTGTAACGCACACACCTCGCCACGTGCTGTACAACACACACACGTGTAACGCACACACATGGTCACGTGCTGTACAACACACACATGTAACGCACACACATGGTCACGTGCTGTACAACACACACACGTGTAACGCACACACATGGTCACGTGCTGTACAACACACACACGTGTAACGCACATACCTCGCCACGTGCTGTACAACACACACACGTTTAACGCACACACATCGTCACGTGCTGTACAACACACACACGTGTAACGCACACACCTCGCCACGTGCTGTACAACACACACACGTGTAACGCACACACATGGTCACGTGCTGTACAACACACACGTGTAACGCACACACATGGTCACGTGCTGTACAACACACACACGTGTAACGCACACACATGGTCACGTGCTGTACAACACACACACGTGTAACGCACACACATCGTCACGTGCTGTACAACACACATACGTGTAACGCACACACATCGTCACGTGCTGTACAACACACACACGTGTAACGCACACACATGGTCACGTGCTTTACACGTTACACCTCCTTTATTTACAGCAGCCGAGACCTCACGAAGAGGAAGTGGGACTCACGAAAAAAGTGCGTCTGGTTGAATCTCCGACATCTCAATCTCACATTGTACAACTCGCATACTTCAGATCAGATTTACACCAAACATTTGACCTCTTACAATTCACATCTCACATTGTAAATCTGACACCTTATATCTTACAGCCCTACATATTACTTCTCTGCATCTCACAGCCATACAGCTCACATTTTACATTAAACAACTTACGTCTTACACCTCGCATCCTAGACCTCACATCTTAAAGCTCCCATCTCACGTCTCATGAATCGAATCTCACGTGCTAAACCTCTCGCCTGACACCTCGCATGTCACGTATCACATTTTACATCAGCTCAGATCGTATACCTCGCGTCGCCCTAGCATCTCTTGCGAAACTGTTTGCCGGCCAAATATCGCTACAGGCAGACGGAAAAATAAAAATAATGACAATTACGATGGTGTCTGATGAGAGTGGTGGTGGTGATGAGGATGGTGGTGGTGACGCTCCATGAACCCGCACTCCAAACCCGCGTGTGTTGGGGCGAGGCGAGAGTTCGCGTGTCCCCGTCTCCCCTTCGCGCTGCTCCTTCAGTGCACCGACACGGACCGCAGGGCACCCGGCGGGGGACACGACGGGAGGTGCCCCCCGGGCGAGGGGCTCCTGTGCGGCGCGGCGGCGGGAGAGGTCGGGGAACCCCCCGGCCCGGAGGGCCGCGGGGAGGCCCCGGCGAGGAGGAGCGAGGCGGCCGCGGGAGCCGGGAGAGGCGGCGGAGGCGCGGGCTTGATGGGCACGGGCACCGCGGGGAGGCCCTGCGCCGCGTGTCCGCACACCAGCGGCGTGATGGGGACTCCGTAGGCGCCGTAGTCGCTGGTGCGCAGGCCCGGCACGGCCACGGGGCCCGCGGTCGCCGCGTCGTGCAGAACCCCCGTGGCGTACATGTGCGGCCACCCCGGGGCCAGCGAGCCCACGACGGGGGCCAGCCCGGCCGCCACTGGGTAGCTGGTGGGCACGGGCTGCACAGCCGCGGAGAGCGCCAGGCCGCCCGCAGCCATCATCGCCTTGTAATCCCGCGCGATGATGTTCTCGATGGCGAACGGGTGCTTGAAGCTGGACGCGGGTGGCAGCCCATGCATGCCGTACGCGGCGGCGGCGGCGAACTGCGGCAGGTGGGCCCCGCTGGCCGCCAGGGACAGACGCAGCTTGGCCGCGTGCTGCTGTTGCTGCTGCTGCTGTTGTTGCTGCTGCTGCTGCTGGTGCGCGTGGTGAGCGTGGTGCGCGTGGTGAGCGTGGTGCTGGAAGTATGGGGAGGGCGCGGGTTCCTTGCCGGCCGAGTGCAGCAGAACCTTGAAGCGCTTGCGCCGTCGCAGGAAGCTGCCGTTCTCGAACATGTCCCCGCACGCCGGGTGCAGGGCCCAGAAGCTACCCTTGCCGGGCTGGTCGGGTCGCCGCGGAATCTTGATGAAGCAGTCGTTGAAGGAGAGGTTGTGGCGCAGCGAGTTCTGCCAGCGCTGCGTGTTTTCGCGGTAGTAGGGGAAGCGCTCCATGATGAATTTGTAGATCTCGCTGAGCGGCAGCATCTTCTCCTGCGAGCTCTGGATGGCCATGGCCGTGAGCGAGATGTACGAGTACGGGGGCTTCTGGTCGCTGTACGTGTTCCGCCCGGGCCTCGGCATCTTCTGGGCGCGCCGGGACGCGGCCCCACGCGCGTCCAAGTTTCGCCTCGCGCTCGGGAGGAGGAGGAGGAGAGTCGCCGCTCTCCGCGCAGCCGAGAGCCGTGCGCTCCCCCGCTCCCTCCCCTCGACTCCGATTCTCCCCTCTCCCCTCTCGCTCTCTCGCTCTCTCGGGATTCGAGTGAAAGTTCCTCTACGGTGCGAACGGCGGCGACAGAGGGAGACGACGCGCAGCACGGCGGGGACTCGATGTCGCTTCTCCCCTCACGATGTCGCGGATCGCCTCTGTGGACTCGGTTCTCTGCTCTGGGCAGTACAGACCCGCGAGGCTGCGCTGCATGGACTGCATCGACTGCCTGGACTCGAGACGCGGTCCGCGAGACGGGGCTGGGTGCCTCGCAGGAAGCGCGTCCGCCTCTCCGCGTCTCTGACGTTCGCGAGTCGTGCTCACCCCCGGAGTGGCTTCATTAATGTTTCCTCACTCCATAATCACAGGACAATGGCCCCGCGAAGGCCTCATCTGGGTTCATTTGCACCTTTTTCACTCGGACACCTTTGGGCCAATCGGCTGCATCGCAACGCGCGGAGGGCGGAGCGCAGGACAATAGAGGGGGGCGCGCGAGGTTGGGGGCGTTACGGGGGGGGGGGGGTACGCACGGCCCTGCACCCACACCCCTCGCCTTACCCCCCCCCCCCCTCTTTCTAAACCCCTTCCCCCATCATCCTGCGCTCCCCAATCTGTAAGGCGCGCTCCGGGACACTGGGACACGGGACATGGGAATGCGGGACACGGGGACACGGAGATAGCGGGCACGGCGCATGGGGATGCAGGACACGGGAGACACCAAATACTTTGGAATGCGGGACACGGGGACACGGCAGACTGTGAGACGAGGGGACACGGCAGACTGAGACACGAGGGGACACGGGACACGGAAGCCACTGGAAGCGCCACGATACGGGAGACGTGAGGGACACGGGAGGAGCTTCGCGAGTCTCGTGGTGGCTCGGCGCCGTCACCGAGACCCGTGAAACCGCGCGCCTCGCGCCCCGCGGCACTGAGCACGATGCCCCCCCCCCCCCCCCCCCCCCCCGTGTCTGTGTGAACGGCTCTGGACATGTGCGCGTGTGGGTGTGGAGAGCGGTCGTGTCGTTATCAGCGCGCTGCGCTATGAACCCCGCCACCCGAGTTCGATTCTCGCTCATTGACAACACAAGTGAAGATTATTTGAACCGACCCTGGGCCTCCTCTAGGTCGACTCCGCCTCAAATGAGTACCTAGTGCGGTGTATTTTAACATCGCCACTAGGGAGATAAATGCGGTCGGGCGTGGTAATGGCCACCCACCCACTCGTGTATCGTAGGTGCTCGCTAACAGCACTTGCCCCAACAGTCTGTTCAGGCTATACGGGGGATCTTTGTCTTTGTGTAGGGTAGCGGTTAGCGCGCTGCGCTACGAACCCGGCGACCCGAGTTCCATTCCCGCTCACGGCCAGTAATGATTATTTGAACCGGTCCTGGGCCTCCCCTAGGTCGACTCAGCCTCAATTCGGCCTTTATAGGTGCTCGCTCACTTACCGCAGTAGTCTGTTAAGGCTATACGGAGCATCTTGTATTTGCGTGTGTGTATAACGGTAGTGTAGCTGTTAGCGTGCTGCACTACGAACCTGGTGAATCCCGTTCACGATCAACACCGTTGTGTTGAACCGGGCCTCCCCTAGGTTGATTCAGCCTCAAATGAGTTCCTGGAGCGCTGTGCAAAACATCGTCGCTGGGGAGACAAAGGCGGCATGGGCGTGGTACTGGCCACCCACCCTCTCGTGTGCCGTACCGGCCTTCATAGGTGTTTGCTGACAGCACTTGTCCCAACAGTCTGTTAAGGCTGTAGGGGGAATATTTGTCTTTGTATATATAACCACGCGGTATTTAATATGTGCGTATCTGTGTGCGTCGGGAGCGGTGGCGCAGTGGTTAGCGCACTATGTTACGGACCCGGCGAACCAAGTTCGATTCCTGCTTATGACCAATAACAGTGGCAAATATTTGAACCGGTCCTTGGTCCCCATGGATTGACTCTGCCTTAAATGAGTACCTGGTGCCGTGTTTAAAAGAACAGCATTGGCGAGACGAAAGCGTGCGGGCGTGGGGTTGGTCACCCACCACCTCGTGTCCCGTTCTGGCCTTATTAGGTGCTCGCAAACATCACGTAACCCACAAGTCTGTTAAGGCTCTTTTGGAGATCTTTGTGTGCGCGTGGCAGGGCATGAAAGTCAGGTGGCCGGGTTTGTTGCGCAGTGCACTGACCACGACGCTAATGTTCCCCATACACAACATGTACGTGTGTCTGTGTGCGTGTGAATGTGTCTTGGTATGTCTGTGTGCGTGTGCGTGGAGCGGTAGCTTAGAGGCTAGGGCGCTGGGCGCAGGGAGCCGGCGACTACACTATGATTCCCACTCAAAGCCAACATCGGTAATGATTATCTGAACCGGTCCTGGGGCGCTCCTCAACTCAATTTAAAATTAGTTCCTGGTGCCACTTGGGAGACAAAGACGGCCTGGCGTGGTGTTAGCCACCTACCCCCTCGTTCGCCGTGACGGCCTTAACAGATGCTCGCTAACAACACTTTCCAACAAAGAGGTATATGGGAGAACTTTGTCTCTGTACATTTCGTTATCTTCTTTCGTATGCCAGTATACTCTGGAGATAAATGCCAATATCGAGGTCTGCTCGCCACGAAAGGGGCTTAGGAGAGAGTTCGCGTCTTAACGATGTTCCGCCGTCGAAGGAGCGCAGACAACGGCGGTTTACTGAATCGCGAGTATATTTGTGCGTTCTGTGCGTGTCACGAGTTCGTGCTACGAACCCGACCACCTGAATTTGATTATCGCACTCCTCAGCCTTACCTGAGTACCCGGGGCGGTGTAAGGATGAGCACAGGGAAGACAAAGGCAGGCACGGTGTGCGTGGCGCTGGGATGAGAAGGCTCGGGTCCGTCTGTGTGCGTAAGATAAAGATCCCCCGTGTAGCCTCAACAGACTGTTGGGACAAGTGCTGTTAGCGAGCAACGCCTATGAAGGCTGTGACGGCACACGAGTGGGTGGTCAGCACCACGTCCGGTCGCCTTTATCTCCCCAGTGGCGATGTTTGCACACCTCACTAGACACTCATTTGAGGCTGAGTCGACCTAGGGGAGGCCCAGGATAATTGTCACTGGTGTTAAACGTGAGGGAAAATCGAACCCGCGTTGCCGGGTCCGCTACACAACCGCAGGTGACAGCTCTTCACACGCGCACTCGTCCTAGGTCGTAGGCACGCGTAGAGACACCGCACGTATACACACCGCACGTACACACACCGCACGTATACACACCGCACGTATACACACCGCACGTACACACACCGCACGTACACACACCGCACGTACACACACCGCACGTATACACACCGCACGTACACACACCGCACGTACACACACCGCACGTACACACACCGCACGTATACACACCACACGTATACGCACCGCACGTACACACACCGCACGTATACACACCGCACGTATACACACCGCACGTACACACACCGCACGTATACACACCTCACGTATACACACCACACGTACACACACCGCACGTATACACACCTCACGTATACACACCGCACGTATACACACCGCACGTATACACACCGCACGTACACACACCGCACGTATACACACCGCACGTACACACACCGCACGTATACACACCGCACGTATACACACCGCACGTACACACACCGCACGTATACACACCTCACGTATACACACCGCACGTACACACACCGCACGTATACACACCGCACGTACACACACCGCACGTATACACACCGCACGTATACACACCGCACGTACACACACCGCACGTATACACACCGCACGTACACACACCGCACGTATACACACCGCACGTATACACACCGCACGTACACACACCGCACGTATACACACCGCACGTACACACACCGCACGTATACACACCGCACGTATACACACCGCACGTACACACACCGCACGTATACACACCGCACGTATACACACCGCACGTACACACACCGCACGTATACACACCTCACGTATACACCCGCACGTATACACACCGCACGTATACACACCACACGTACACACACCGCACGTATACACACCTCACGTATACACACCACACGTACACACACCGCACGTATACACACCTCACGTATACACCCGCACGTATACACACCGCACGTACACACCGCACGTATACACACCGCACGTATACACACCTCACGTATACACCCGCACGTATACACACCGCACGTACACACACCGCACGTATACACCCGCACGTATACACACCTCACGTATACACCCGCACGTATACACCCGCACGTATACACACCTCACGTACACACCGCACGTACACACACTGCACGTACACACACCTCACGTATACACCCGCACATATACACCCGCACGTATACACACCGCACGTACACACACCGCACGTATACACACCGCACGTACACACACTGCACGTACACACACCTCACGTATACACACCTCACGTATACACACCTCACGTACACACACCGCACGTATACACACCGCACGTACACACACCTCACGTATACACACCGCACGTACACACACTGCACGTACACACACCTCACGTATACACACCGCACGTACACACACCGCACGTACACACACCACACGTATACACACCGCACGTACACACACCGCACGTATACACCCACACGTATACACCCACACGTATACACACCGCACGTATACACACCGCACGTACACACACCGCACGTATACACACCGCACGTACACACACCGCACGTATACACACCACACGTATACACACCACACGTATACACACCGCACGTACACACACCGCACGTACACACACCGCACGTACACACACCGCACGTATACACACCGCACGTATACACACCGCACGTATACACACCGCACGTATACACACCGCACGTATACACACCGCACGTATACACACCTCACGTATACACCCGCACGTATACACACCGCACGTACACACACCTCACGTATACACACCGCACGTACACACACCGCACGTATACACAC